TTTTTAAATGAAAGATTACAAAATGAAGTAGATGCAAATATATTAATATCGGATATAACAAGGCCTGGCTAAGACAGTAAAGTGGGTTTATATTGTTATTATGGCAGTAGCAGTTATAGGGTTTATTCAATAAACAGTCTTGAACATCCTTTACAATCAGTTTGAAGCAATACTCTAGGGATGCAATTATCTCATAACATACCTCAGCCCACTTCTATCTTCCCGCTTAATTACATTTCATAAATCTTTGTTTCCTATGTATATTAAGAAGTTTGTACAAAATGTTTCAAGGCATTTTTTGGCATATGGAATTATGGCTTCATCAGTTTACATAATATTTATCTTTTGGTTTCACCAGGTGGAAGCTTTCATACTGTTACAAAACAGTCTCTTCACCATGTAGATTATTCATCAAAAAAAAGCACTGGTGAATTTTACAAGTTTGTTTCTTTGATATGCAAAATGTGCTTCATGAGTAAACAGTGCTTTATAAGTGCTAATTAAAAAAAAGATAAGTCAAACCTTTCAAAGTCACCAAAATATTCAATTTGCCAAACAAGGAAAGGGCAAAAATAATATAAAATTAAAGTTTGTAATACGACTACAAAATGCTCTTTGTCTGTGGAAAGGACATACTAACATGATTTGCCCTCCTCTCCTTCAACGTTTCTTTTTTACCCTAACCTGCATGTGCTAATTGTAGGGAATATACATTCTGGAAACAAAATTAAGAAGATATATTGACAGTATGTGAGCTGTAAATGGAACCTGGTCTATTTTTAGCATGATTTTAAAATAACTCTTTTAATTGCATGCAAACTGTGGTATAGATCCATGAAATTATTATTATTATAGTGGCATCGGGGGGGTTCAAATAAAAATAAGGGTCCCATTGAGGTGGATACTGTATATACACATATGTAATAGATGAAGTTTCTTGTAACTGAATGCCTCAGTCCTATACATTATCGCATGTGGGTAGATTCCTGTAGTCATTTTTGTGGGCATACGGTTTGCACACAAGGTGCAACTGCCCAGACAAGGCCTAAATTGAAAAAAAAATGCAACAAATGTTCATGTCAAAGTAAAGTGATGGGGAGATAATGAAAATAAGATCAATTAGTTCCATAGTTCTTGCACAACTTGGTCATCCTAACCCATTTTTTTAATATATAAAAGTCTTCAGCGCTTTCTAGTGATTATTTCATGTCAGCAATTAGGACCTATTTGGATAACTTTCTGTTCTATCTAGGTTTTTGTACTATCATTGTAGTATCCGAGTGCGTTCCAGTACTGCCTTAAGCGACATAACTGCAAATCTGTCACTGTTGTTTGTTCATTCATCCTCTCCCCAGAGAAATATGAATGCCTTGTTTTAGTAGGTTTTTTTTTAATACTCCTGTGTTTATATCAGAGAAGGTGAGGCTAAAAAAATATGCCTTACACATGGGCTGTGTCTAGACTGCATCCCTTTTTCATAAAAGGGATGCAAATTAGACATATCGCAATTGCAAATGAAGCGGGGATTTAAATCCCCCCCGCTTCATTATCATAAAATGTCTGCCGCTTTTTTTTCCCGGAGCTCAGGGATAAGGGATCTTTTGGAAAAGGCTTTATTTTCCGAAAGATCCGCGTCTAGACTGGCGCTTTTTTCTGGCAAAGCTCCGAGCCGGAAAAAAGCGGCAGACATTTTATGATAATGAAGCAGGGGGGATTTAAATCCCTGCTTCATTTGCAATTGCGATATGTCTAATTTGCATCCCTTTTACGAAAAAGGGATGCAGTCTCGACACAGCCATGGAGTAGAAAGTGATGTGGTTTATGATAGTCCTTAATTCCCAAGAAAGAAAGGTTGTTTCCCACAGATGAACTTTATTCTAATTACAAAGGTTAAGATTTTATCATGGTTATTTTTATTAAAAGTCATGAGCAAATAGTAGGCATTGAAGCCCAAGCTCTACAGAGGGGATGGGACCATGGGCAGTTGGTGAAGCTAGGACTGGTGGAGGCAGGCTCCAACCTCCCTGGCCCCTGGAGCACAAGAAAGGTGGAAACTGGGGGCAACAATGCTCTGCCCCCAGAAAGCCTATAAGAGGTGTTCTGGGGGCAGAATGTTGGTAGGGCCATGCCTGGCGGTTTGGGGAGGCAGAGCCTTCCCCTGCCTAGGCTACTGGACGCCCATGGATGGGATTGAGCCCCACTGCCTGCAAGGAGCTCCAGCTTCTGCCACAGCCATTAATAGCTCCGGCCCTGCCATTGCAGGAAGGGCTGAAGCTGAAGAAGTCATGGAGATTCATTAATGTTATGAAATCCATGACCTCTGTGATTTACTCATGTCCTTATTACAGTTCCTTCACATCAAGAGAATTAGGTTTTCAATCACAGTTTTCATGTCAGAGCATTAGACTTTGAGATATCCCAGACCCAGGCCATGGAGTGCTTTGAAGATAGAGACCTTAAACTTGATTCAAAATTCAATGGCAAGCCCATGTAAAAAACAGAGGGCAGTGTGATTTGCTCATGGTAATCTATGTTGCTGAGATGTGCTGCAGCATTTTGTGCTTGTCATAGTTGTGCACGTTTGAGTTTTCTAAGTGAAAAAGTTTCATGCCCACATATACTGCATTGTGGAAGTCCAGGTGAGAAGTGGCAGCATGAATAACTGAGGCCAAATCCTTGTCCACCTGGCTGAGATGGAAACTCCTAGCTTACTGGAGATGGTAGAAAGTGATAGCTTTGAACCTCTGTGGTCCGGGACTCTCAGATGCTGCTGGACTAGGGATGTTAAATATCAGTTAATTGAATAGTCAAGTAACCTCATGTATTCTTATTGGTTAGTCAACTATTCTATAGTCCCTAGGGGTGGGGCCGGCAGCCAGTGTGCTCCAGCCCCACTCCTGAGGAGCGCCCTGCCGCCTTTGTATCAGAGGCAGCAGCACAGGGTGCCAGGAGGGAACATGGTCCATGAGGGGAGCCAGTTTAAAAAACAACTGCCCTCATAGACTGGCTGCCCATCACCTTGTGTTGCTACCTCTGATAAAAATTTACTGGCAAGTTGTGTGTGTGTGTGTGTGTGGGGGGGGCAAAGAAAGCAGCTGCCCCAGCAGCTGGAGCCCCGAGTCCCTTTGAATTGCCACCGGAGTGACACTCCATGTGGCAAGGGGGTGCCACTGTCTGGGCACACGGGGCACTAATATTTGCAGCCCACGGACTGAAAAGCTGATGGGGGTGCTGGAGTCTATGGGGGGGAGGGAGGCACCAAGCCCACAGTAGGTTGAGCAGGAAGTGGGGGGCTGGAGAATGCTGACAGGGGTGAATGCCCACAGGGCTGCTAGGGCCATGGAACCCACAGAGCTGTCTCAGTCAGGTGGCCGAGGGCAGTGGTGCCAGGTAGCTGGGGAGAGGAGCCCAGTGAAGAGACTGATGCCTCCCTCTCCCAACCTTTCTATCAGAAAGAGAGGGGGGGGGGGGAAGCTGAGGGTATACTTCAAAGCAGCAGCGCCACCTGAAGCCTGGAACCAGGGCCAGCTGGGGTGTTGCTAGGCTGCATGCAGCATTTCACACCATGTGGCACTCAAGATCAGCCGGGGACTCCCCTGCTCTGTGTGGCATTGACGCTTTGAAATGCCGCAAGGAGCCTGACACCAGTCTCCCTGCGATGTTTCAAAGCAGCAGCGCTGCACCAGGGTCAGTGGGGAAGTTGCTTTTGCCTTTGAAGATGCCCTATATTGACTAATCAAACAGTAGATGCAAAATCCCTGCTCTGCACTAGCTCAGTAGGGTCCTGCCTGAGGCAAGGCACTGGAGGAGTGAGTCGGTGTGGTGGGAAGCACTGGGCAGGTTTGTCAAGTTGGGTGCTAGTAGTGGAGGAGTCTGTGTGGGGGGGGAGTTGTGGTGGGACTGTGGGGAACGGTTCTGGGCAGTGGGGGGGTGTCTCTGTGGGGTACTGGGCAGTTGTGGGGCTGGAGGGTTGCTAGGGCAGGGCGGTGGTGTCCAGGGCAGTGTGCACGTGTGTGGGGTGCAGAGGGTGTGGGGGCTGTGTGCAAGGCATGGCCTCACCTGCACAGGAGCACCACAGCTGCAGGGCTGGTCGGCCGGGGTGTGCCCAGCGCCTGCCAGTTTGCACAGTGCCCGTGCACTGGGGCCGCCCTCGCCACGCCCCATTCCCCACAAACAGCAGCTCCCCCCGCCCCACGGCT